GCGCCGACATTGGCGCTGCGACTGACTTGTCTACTGACCCTGTGTAAATCAGCCATAACGTGAAAAAGGTAAGTTTTATGTTTATTAATTTTTTTTCGTATAAATTATGTGTTGTTTTACTGGTGCATATATGTGTACCTCAGGACTAAACATTACTTTTGTATGATATACGACCGTGTTTCAGCTTCAACATGGATGACCGGGCAATTGAGGATTTTCTGAATGATATTAATCTGTATTTTTCTGGAGACGATGATGATGAAGATTATTTGCCACCAGATATATTAAAAGCACATCAAGAATCTCAAGAAGCGGAAATTAGTGGTACGACGAAAATACTGAAGAAGTAAGTCAAAGTACATCCGACTGTTGTGGCAGAAGAACGCAATGTCTCGTCGTGGGCCAGATATTGCAGATGACGTACTCATTTCACAGGGGAGCACAGACATGTTTTTTTTTATATTATTTTTTGAGTATTTGGGGCTAGACTTTTGGGAATTACTAACAGAACAGAGCAACCTGAATTCAGCTCAAAAAGAAATTTAATATCAATAAATACAAATTCTATTTAAATGATCCACTTTGCTGGCGTGCAACTGATGATGGGCGCCCTCAAATATTCACAAGGAAAGCTCTACTGGACTAGAGATCTTTGTGTACCTATAGTTAGGGATACAATTAGTCGTGATCGTTTTCTTGAGTTCAAGAACTATCTGCACTTAGTGGACGTACACCAGCCAAATGTTAATAATAACAAGCTGTGGAAATTGAATAAAACTAAATTTACGGATTTTATCGCGTTTATTTCACTACTTTTACTTATTTTTAATTCCCGACGTTTCGGGTGTTATACAGCAACCATGGTCACGGGGGGGGACTGAGATGTTTGACGTCCCAATGTCATAGTTAGTCCGGCTACCTTCAGTTTTTGAATATTAATTTTTGGTCCGATTTACGCAAAACGAGCTTATAGTATCATGAAGTCTTGCAGTGTTATGCTTAGGTTTGGGTTTAACACCTAAGCATACCACTGCAAGACTAAATCGAGCCAAAGCGATGATGAAGTGTAGCGGCGGAAATTTTGAACCCAACTTCTTGCTTCCTGGCTCCTGATCTTGTCCCAACGACAACCATTCGACAAGATGCTATGGGATGTAATAAAAACAATAACATCTACATCAAAACCTAAAAATAAAGCAGTCGAATTGATAGACCCTACACACGAGCAAAAATCAGTCGATGATATAAATGAGTTTTTTGTAACAATCGGGAGAGATTTAGCAGAGAAAACACTAAAATGCAAAAACCTTTAACACAGTGAGTATAACAAAGAATATACTACAAGTTCCTTAAAATCCTTCGTATTGTTAAGTACTGACGTAGTAGAGGTTGAGCAACTCATCACAGAGTTAAAGGATGTTTGTTCTGTGGGCTGGGATTGCATACCAAATAAGGTCCTTAAAGACTTCAAACACATTTTCGTCCCTCCTTTGACACATATTTTTAACAACTGTTTATATCAAGGTATATTTCCTACGATTCTAAAAAAATCTATGGTATTTCCAATTTACAAGGCAGGTAAACAAGACTGTGTCAATAACTACAGGCCTATATCGATACTTCCATCCATCTCTAAGCTTATGGAACGCATAATCAATAAAAGACTAGTCAAATATATAGAAGGAAATAACTTTATTTCTAAAAGCCAGTTCGGTTTTAGACCCGACAAATCAACTAGTGATGCAGTCCATGAGGTTACTGACTATATAGTAGGTAATCTGGATAAGGGCAAGAAAACTATTGGTATATTTTTGGATCTTGTCAAGGCTTTTTACACAGTCTCCATTCCTTTATTATTACATAAGCTTGAATATCTTGGAATACGTGATGTTCAACTAAATTTATTTAAGGAATACCTTTCTAATAGATATCAATGTGTCAAAATTAATGATCAAGTTAGTGGAGATTTACCGATTACACACGGTGTGCCACAAGGCAGTATATTAGGCCCAAGCTTGTTTATAATCTATATAAATGACCTCTGGCAGCTAAATATCCCAAATTTTAAAATAATTTGCTATGCAGATGACACTGTCTTGCTATTCTCTGATGACTAGTGGGAGAATGCTTACAAAAGTGCACAATTCGGTTTAAATCTAGTTACTCATTGGCTACAACAATATTCTCTTATATGTATAAATGTTGAGAAGACACATTTTATCTCCTTTAGTATGCGAAACTCTACCCAATCAACGCTGTCTCTTTCACTAATAGCTCATAGTTGCTGTAATAATAACTTCTGTTCATGTCCTTCCATCACTAAAACTGCTTCTATAAAATATTTGGGGGTAATATTAGACCAAAATTTAACCTTTCGTGAACATATACTTATGGTTTATGCTAAACTCAGAAAACTAAGCTTTATTTTCAAAAATCTTCGACATGTGGCGCATCCCAAATTGCTGAAACAGGTATACTTAGCTCTTGCTCAATCAATCCTGAACTATTGTATTACTGTGTGGGGAGGTGCATCAAAATCGATCTTAAAACCCCTTTGAAATAGCACAAAGAGCAATCCTTAAAGTATGCACATTTAAACCCTTACTTTACCCTACGTTTCAGTTATATCAATCCTTTGGAGTATTCACTGTTCGTCAACTATTTATTTTAAACACAGTGTTGAAACAATATTCGTGTTTATCTTATAATAAAGATCTCTTGTTATCTAAACGAAGAAAAGATAAAGTTTGCAAAAATAGACCTATTTCTAGTCATTCTTTCGTTAATAAATATTTTTATTACCTTGGACCACTCCTTTATAATAAAATCACTAAAAAGACTGAATTGTACTCTTTAAATAAAAATAAATGCAAAATTAAATTATTTGAATTTCTTCATCAGTTAAACTTTGAAGAAACTGAAGCATTACTTACTACTAGTTAATGTTACTTACACACCCTCATACACACACTCATGCATTCAACATATTATACACAAAGATATACATATTAATACACATTATACCATTTTTTTTATATCAAAACACATTTTGTTATGTTTAAGATTCACATTTTATCTGTTGTATACCTTCTATTTAAGTTATACTTATGTTAGTCTGTTAATATGTAATAGGGAAGAGCACTGTGATCTGAAATACAGATATATATTTATCTAGTTCAGACACAGATGTTCCATCATTCTTTGTGAACTAGGTATAGATCATAGAACAGTTATTTATAAATGTGATAGCTATGCAAGTTTTGAAAATAAAGTATTAAGTATTAAGACCCAGCTCGACTGCTACCAGCGAAAGACTACAGTGTACCGATGAACCAACTACAAAAAAACATCAGCCGATTGTACCATAACCACAACCGTGAAATAAAATAATGACATTGTGGATCGTGGGAGGTGGCAAAAGTGTATTGAACTTGATGGTGATTATGTAGAAAAATAAAAATATAACTGATTTAGTATGTGTTTATTTTCTTGGTTAGGCCGAGTACTTTTCAATTCACCCTCGTATTAGATCTAATCGACTAACAGGCTGTGAAAAACTACCAAAAGATGACAAAACTTTAAAAAAAGAAGAACAGGTGCTTTCGTTCAATTGATATGCAACAAAAATCAATTTTCTGTCGTAAAGTGTATGACAACAAGTTTACCCAAAAGAGACCAAAAATAGATATGATAAGATTGAGAAGCGTAAAATACCGGTAAATCATCTCCCCCAAATTGTGAAAAATTCTAATGCTCATATCGGAGGGGTGGATTTGGCTAACATGCTGGTGGCTTTATACAGAACTGAGATTAAATCAAGAAGGTGGTATTTGTCGATTTTTTCCCGAATGATTGATATTTGCATCAACAATGCGTGGCTAATGTACAAAAGAAATATGAAAAGGCTTAAAGAAAAACCGATGATGCTAAAAAAATTCAGACTAATTGTCAGCGAAGAACTTATAAAATTTGAAAGACCTTCTTTGTCAGTTGAAGTACCATGCACATCTTCGTCCAAAAAGATTGCTGCACTGAAAAGAAACTGACCTTACGATATCCGTCGTAATAAAGTTGGCCATGAGCAAGACGGTACTACTTACGGGCGTTGTCGGTATTGTAAAAAAGGGCAAACAAATGTTTTTTGTACCAAATGTCAACTTAGATTTTGTTTTATCCCAAATAAGCGAAACTGCTTTTATAATTTCCATAATGATTAACTTTTGATAATTTTTTCATTCCTATTGTTTATTTTATTTTTACCCATAATGATCTGTGAGTTAGATATGTATGGTATATTATACTAATGTTTAAAGAGTATCTTTTTTTGAACATCGAGATATGTAATACTATATTATACTAAACATTTCTAAAAACGCAAGCCTGATTATTTTATTTTATATTTTTCCCTTTTTACTTTCACGAAATATAGTAAAATAAATTAAAAAAAAAAAACAGTAAAAAAATAAAAAATCCTGCCAAATTAAGGATTAATGGTATATTGTATAAAATGCAAAAGTACATACTCTGGTTTTCATAATAGTACAGCATGCAGCAGACAAAGGAAGCTTTACAACCTCCCCAACAGTAGTAACTACCCCACCAGCAAGTGTCACTATTAGAGCAGATTGTACCAGTATAGGAGAAATAGACCTAGTAACTGCAAACCTTCCACTACTTATGAAACATAAACATTGTGGTGACCCTATTCTTACCTACATAAAAGCTATAGAAAAAGAGAGAACTAGACCCACCGGTCTTAAGAAAAAGGAGTTAAATAATTATTTCGATGCTAAGTATCTCTCTGGCCAATTTGAGGATTACGAGACTAAATGTGGTAGTCGCTGTGAAGGAATACTTAACACAAGACCAATAATTTTATCTGACAACATGAAACAATCAGAGTTAGTGGATAGACTGCAATTTCTGAAGTCGATTAAAGAACACTTTGAAACCGTTGCTTTAATTTTTTCTGATATGAAGACCCTCCAAGAATTGACAAAATGTATCAAAAAGTTGGAACAACAACAACTTTGGACTCAGTTAAGCCCGTAAAAGATAAATATGAATTAACCAAACCGGCATGTGAGTCTCAACTGTCAGAGTTGAGTGCTTTAGAAGAATAAATATTCCTCTTATTTCACAATATAGTCATACTGCAGATAAGCATGATCGATCCTCTTAATATAGATGTGAGTTGCCTACAAGCAGTGCCGTATTGGAACCCAGACCACAAAAGGTATGAGTTAAGTTACAAGAATAATGACTTCGAAGACTTAGTGCACTTGTACTTTGAAAAGTGTCCTTCAGACGTGCACCTAGATATTAACGAATATAAAAGCTAACCGTACGTCCGAATTCAGATTCTGTTACTACTACATTCCAATTTAAGAGGTTTAATATTGCCAAATCCTTACCAAAATGCAGTAAAGAACCAACAGTAAAAATAAAAGAAGGGGTGCTTAGTTACCATCAGGCTACCAATATAAGAATTTTGTCAAATGACAATAAAAATGCATTGTACACATTACGATACAAGGGTGTGAGTCGACTCAGGGACATTGTTTGTATTACGCCCAAGTGTAGAAGCTAGGCAACAGCTAGAAAATTTAGTAGCATCAACTTATGATAGTGTCAGAGGTAGTATATCGTTGGAAGCAATATTATCCTCATTATCAGGTATTGACATTATAGGTTTCTTTAATTCAATTTATGACTATTTCCACATTAATGTATATAGTATAATTGGTTCTGTGTTATCATTATTTATAGTTTATAGAGCAATAGTAACTTTCGATATAGGATTAATGGTCTTTGGATCATTATTACTATTTGTATCATTATCAACTAGTGATTTGCTTGTTGGCCATTATACGTGTTTTTGCTTGTTGGCCATTATCAGATTATTACAAACTTTATTGGATACGAACTGATTTAATAGAAGATGTAATAAATACCACTTTCACAGTTGTGAAAGAGTTACAAAAGACTGCAGCTATTGTGGCACCTAAGACTGCTTTGGTAGCAATCAAAGCTACTAATACTGCAGCCAACACTATCTTTGTCTTATTATTATGTACAATTATGCCATTTGTAACTTCACTAGGTTTAATCATAATTTTACGAATAGTATGCAGATTGTTTATAAACAGAAATATTAACAGGCCAAAATAGGATATATTAATAACTTTACCAGGTATGCCATGGGTAGGAGTAACCATTTATATGACTTTCACTAACAAAATGTCTAGAATATATATATATATATATATATATATATATATATATATATATATATATATATATATATATATATATATTATATATATATATATATATTCTACAAATGTCTAGAATATATATATATATATATATATATATATATATATATAGTATTAGTGAAAGTCCTATAAATGGCTACTCCTACCCATGGCATACCTGGTAAAGTTATTAATATGTCTGTTTTAGCCTGTTAATATTTCTGTTTATAAACAACCTGCATACTATTCGTAAAATTATGATTAAACAACATCAATATAAGGCCAGTCAAATAATGAGGGAGATAGCTGCTCCAATACTTTGTAGCAACGGGGTATTAAGTTTTAATTTCTCTGAGCTTAAAGAAGGTAATAATGAGTTTGAGAATGGCGTAGTCTTTAGAAGAGGTGACTACTTTTACACTGCAGAACATTGTGTTGACGAGGAAACAAAAAAAGAAGAATAGATGCATGAGAGATGTGTGTACAAACGACCCGACGGTAATAGTTGGCTCAGATCTAATTTAAATTATTGGTATTGAATTGGGAAAAGGAAAATCAGGTTACGTTGTAGTTCAAGATAACAAACATTTGTTATTCCAGTATATGAAAGGGGTAAAGCAATATGGTAGAGTTTTGTTGTTTAACAAAATCAGAATATCAGCTGAGGATGGAAAAAACACAGCACAATCAACTAAACCATCTCAGGAAAGTTCAACTAGTCCTAATCGAAGTACTAGTAAAGACTGTAGCTGTGTGGGCGGTGAGTATTACAACTACTGTTGAGCTAAATTTATGGCAGAAAGAAATAAAAGCATAAGGACTCGCGCATCAGGTGGAGAATATTACACTAATCCATTCAATCGCAGTTACACAGTAAGGACCATAGGCGGAAAAATAGGACTAGTGTACCCTGATTTACAGGCATCACAAGTAACTGAAGATACAGTACGCCATAGAGATGGCGTGGCCATAGAGATACATTTATGAATTATACCATTATAAAATCTACATGAAACCGACCGACATTATTGTAAAATTATTGGTCACCCATACATTCATACATTTTTTTCATACCCAAGAGGTTTGAACTTCGCTTAGATAATATTTTTGCATGTTTTTCAGAAATAAATTAATTTGCGAATTTTTTTAAATAAAAACTGCAAAAGCTGTTCATACTATTTACTTTATATCTATCAGCACAGTTAGTGTATAATAATAAAACAACAAAAACCAATAGAATCATTCATTTTTGGTCATAGTGTTCAAGACAGTGTAATAAGATAGAAAAAATCGACTTTTCTTTAAAAAAATATATCAAAGATACTACTTGTGACATATTATGTTCCGTATTTTTTTCAGAACAGCCATAAGTTGTACTATAAGAAATTTCAAGGTTATCCATTCATTACCTGACACCCGATGTATTCACTTTGACAATGGTGAATGGTTACTCGGTTGAGGGGGCTAAAGCTGTAATCGCGTTATGCAAAACTATTAAACGCAAGGCTTGCGTAGTATATTATTATAACTTTTTTAGTTCTCTTGCTCTTGTACAAATACTTCGCCAGAAATATGGAATTTTCAGTCTTTGAACTACGAGGGTGGATTGAAAAGTCGAGTACTTTAACCTAACTAACACAGCCTAGCACAGATCCATTCAATTCTAAAAATCAAATCTACCCACATTATTTAGTTCAGTTCAAACTAGTTCATTGTGTGAAGTTCGAAACGTGTGCGATAATTAGTTGTGATTTTATAAATTTATTAACAAAGTAATCGGACATAATTTCCGCGAATGGAGCAAATCGAGCAGCGTGCCGTCATTAAGTACCTCCATAAGAAGGGGCTATCATCAAAAGCCATCCATGATGACATGGTCAGTACATTAGGCGATTGTGCTCTGTCATATTCATCCGTCAAGAAATGGATAGCAGAATTTAAGCGTGGTAGAGAGAGTGTGAAAGATGAACCCCGCTCTGGAAGGCCTTCGACGTCAACTACTGACGAAAATATTAAAAAAGTACTTGATTTAATAATGGGAGACCGCAGATTAAAAATTAGAGAGATAGCCGAGATTATAGGCATCTCTTATGAACGAACTCAAAACATCATTGTCAACGAGTTGAGTTTCCACAAGGTGTCTGCGAGGTGGGTTCCGCGACTGCTTTCAGTTGAACAAAAAAGGACGCGATTGACTATTTCACGCGACTGTTTGGAGTTATTTGAAGCCGATCAGATGATTTTTTGAATCGTTTTGTTACTATGGACGAAACATGGGTTCATTTCTGTACACCGGAAACAAAACAACAATCAAAACAGTGGAGAAGACCTGGTTCACCACCCCCTAAATAGGCTAAGTCGATTTTGTCGGCAAATAAGGTGATGGCTTCAGTATTCTGGGACTCGAAAGGTGTGGTTATGATTGATTATCTTGAAAAGGGTCAGACTACAAACTCTGATTACTACTGCACCTTACTACGTCGTTTACGAGAGGTAATAATACGTCGAGGAATGCTCAGAAGAAAAGTCCTGTTTCATCAAGATAACGCCCGTGTTCACACGTCAGTACAGTCAATAGCTGAAATTCACAACTGTGGCTTTGAACTGTTACCGCATCCGCCGTATTCACCTGATGTGGCACCATCAGACTTCTTTCTGTTCCCTAACCTAAAAAAACACTTGGGAGGTCAAAGATTTTCGACAAACGACGAGGTCAAAGCAGCTGTAGACGCATATTTTGACTCTTAGGAAGAATCATTTTTTTTCAACGGTCTAAATGCTTGGAAGGGGAGGTGGCAAAAGTGTATTCAACTTGATGGTGATTATGTAGAAAAATAAAAATATAACTGATTTAGTATGTGTTTATTTTCTTGGTTAGGCCGAGTACTTTTCAATTCACCCTCGTATTAGATCTAATCGACTAACAGGCTGTGAAAAACTACCAAAAGATGACAAAACTTTAAAAAAAGAAGAACAGGTGCTTTCGTTCAATTGATATGCAACAAAAATCAATTTTCTGTCGTAAAGTGTATGACAACAAGTTTACCCAAAAGAGACCAAAAATAGATATGATAAGATTGAGAAGCGTAAAATACCGGTAAATCATCTCCCCCAAATTGTGAAAAATTCTAATGCTCATATCGGAGGGGTGGATTTGGCTAACATGCTGGTGGCTTTATACAGAACTGAGATTAAATCAAGAAGGTGGTATTTGTCGATTTTTTCCCGAATGATTGATATTTGCATCAACAATGCGTGGCTAATGTACAAAAGAAATATGAAAAGGCTTGAAGAAAAATCGATAATGCTAAAAAAATCAGACTAATTATCAGCGAAGAATTTATAAAATTTGAAAGACCTTCTTTGTCAGTTGAAGTACCATGCACATCTTCGTCCAAAAAGATTGCTGCACTGAAAAGAAACTGACCTTACGATATCCGTCGTAATAAAGTTGGCCATGAGCAAGACGGTACTACTTACGGGCGTTGTCGGTATTGTAAAAAAGGGCAAACAAATGTTTTTTGTACCAAATGTCAACTTAGATTTTGTTTTATCCCAAATAAGCGAAACTGCTTTTATAATTTCCATAATGATTAACTTTTGATAATTTTTTCATTCCTATTGTTTATTTTATTTTTCACCCATAATGATCTGTGAGTTAGATATGTATGGTATATTATACTAATGTTTAAAGAGTATCTTTTTTGAACATCGAGATATGTAATACTATATTATACTAAACATTTCTAAAAACGCAAGCCTGATTATTTTATTTTATATTTTTCCCTTTTTACTTTCACGAAATATAGTAAAATAAATTAAAAAAAAAACAGTAAAAAAATAAAAAAATCCTGCCAAATTAAGGATTAATGGTATATTGTATAAAATGCAAAAGTACATACTCTGGTTTTCATAATAGTACAGCATGCAGCAGACAAAGGAAGCTTTACAACCTCCCCAACAGTAGTAACTACCCCACCAGCAAGTGTCACTATTAGAGCAGATTGTACCAGTATAGGAGAAATAGACCTAGTAACTGCAAACCTTCCACTACTTATGAAACATAAACATTGTGGTGACCCTATTCTTACCTACATAAAAGCTATAGAAAAAGAGAGAACTAGACCCACCGGTCTTAAGAAAAAGGAGTTAAATAATTATTTCGATGCTAAGTATCTCTCTGGCCAATTTGAGGATTACGAGACTAAATGTGGTAGTCGCTGTGAAGGAATACTTAACACAAGACCAATAATTTTATCTGACAACATGAAACAATCAGAGTTAGTGGATAGACTGCAATTTCTGAAGTCGATTAAAGAACACTTTGAAACCGTTGCTTTAATTTTTTCTGATATGAAGACCCTCCAAGAATTGACAAAATGTATCAAAAAGTTGGAACAACAACAACTTTGGACTCAGTTAAGCCCGTAAAAGATAAATATGAATTAACCAAACCGGCATGTGAGTCTCAACTGTCAGAGTTGAATGCTTTAGAAGAATAAATATTCCATATGAGATTCTACTCATCCAGTGTTGAGTTTCATGGGTCAACATCAATAAAATGTAATAGCTCTGGCTGGGATAGGAATAGGTACCTGACTGACGGTGCGGGTCAGTCTTGTCAACAAGGATTAAAATCAAAAATTGAAGGTAAAGGTGAGTGTGTTAAAATTCATACAAATAATTGCTACTCTGGGCCTCATGATGAATGTGCTTTGGGGAATAATCGTGTAATTGAAGGTTCGGGTGTTATTTACTCCAAATCAGCAATTAGAAAAGATCAGATATGTTGTACACTAGACTGCTTCTCAAAGAAAGAGTTATATATAAGCTTAACAGATCAACCTTTTGTAGCTCTTGCATTAGAGCATACTTCGGGTTACTTTGGCATAATGATTGCGCAATAAAAGTGCCTGAGGAGCCTACCGAAGTAGATGACATTAAAATATACTCATACACTACAGCGTTTAACATAAATGGGTTTTAATTGCAGGAACCTATATAATTTTGAACAGCGTTGTGGTGGTAATGGGCCTGTAACCCAAGGTTCACACGTTGACTATATTGATATGTTGTGTGCCTGCAGAATAAGTAAAGTAAGTAATATTAAATACTTAGGTAAGGCCAAGTCAGTGATTAATGATGTGATAGAAAACAAAAGATACGTTAAAGTTGTCATTATTTTATTAGCAATATATGTTTTCCCAAAATTAACAGCAACATGTTTTATAATATTCATTTGGATTAAATTTTCAAGGACAGGCGGGCTATGCTTTAGTACGTAGTGATCATTCTCCTGTTCTCTAACGCTAACTTTCATGGTGTGGACAAACGTAATTACTAAAGTTGTTCAAAACGACTGTAAATCAATAGCACGCTATAGACCATTAACTATAAATATCTAGCGCGCTATTAATTAAGCTATGTTATAGTGCGCTATTTATGAGAAATTATATAAGAATCCGGCAAGCGCGTTAAGCAATTGTAGCACGCTATATCTCGTTGCATGTTACATTGTCGTTTGTTGGATAGACCGCGAGCTATATAAGAACATCATTTCGTAATAAGTCGTTGCGCCCTCCTTTCTCCCAAGGAGGGTCGCGTCCGTTTACAAAGTCTTATAATATTCATTTGGATTACTTATACAACCGCCTCATGTGAGCTTAATGACATGGTCCCATTGCCTGCTAATAGTAAGAATTATAACAAGGACTTGAGTTGGCCAGTACGAGTGCGATTAACTAAAGGAGATTGCATAGATGCTGGCGATTATACTTCAGAGATAGTAAACATTAAGAGAATAAGTAATTACAAATTCTTATCAAGCATGCCTTATAAGATAAAAGTGGTTTGCTCTGGATTTGATTGGGAATGTCATCTTGGCAAAGGTAGTTCCATCATACATGAAAAAGATAAGTGTGAGAAAGATTGCACTACAGGGATATTTTATAAACACACAGCAATTCAGTCTTACTTTGATGGATCAGCATGCGCTATATAGTCAGGCATACACACAAAGCTTACAGCCTGTTTTTCTGCAGGCAATCTTGGGTCTGAAGTCAAAATCTTTAGCAGGTTATCAATTGAGAGTGACATTAAACTACAGACGATACGCTATCGTCAAGGAGTTGATTTATCTACAGAATTAAGTATTGATGACATTATCAGTTATATAATTAGTGAACCATCCCGCGACATGAACTTGTGGCCGTACATGGTTGCCATCAGGGGTGGGGACAGATTTTGTAGTTACGCCATGATTGACATTTCACAATATAGTCATACTGCAGATAAGCATGATCGATCCTCTTAATATAGATGTGAGTTGTCTACAAGCAGTGCCGTATTGGAACCCAGACCACAAAAGGTATGAGTTAAGTTACAAGAATAATGACTTCGAAGACTTAGTGCACTTGTACTTTGAAAAGTGTCCTTCAGACGTGCACCTAGATATTAACGAATATAAAAGCTAACCGTACGTCCGAATTCAGATTCTGTTACTACAACATTCCAATTTAAGAGGTTTAATATTGCCAAATCCTTACCAAAATGCAGTAAAGAACCAACAGTAAAAATAAAAGAAGGGGTGCTTAGTTACCATCAGGCTACCAATATAAGAATTTTGTCAAATGACAATAAAAATGCATTGTACACATTACGATACAAGGGTGTGAGTCGACTCAGGGACATTGTTTGTATTACGCCCAAGTGTAGAAGCTAGGCAACAGCTAGAAAATTTAGTAGCATCAACTTATGATAGTGTCAGAGGTAGTATATCGTTGGAAGCAATATTATCCTCATTATCAGGTATTGACATTATAGGTTTCTTTAATTCAATTTATGACTATTTCCACATTAATGTATATAGTATAATTGGTTCTGTGTTATCATTATTTATAGTTTATAGAGCAATAGTAACTTTCGATATAGGATTAATGGTCTTTGGATCATTATTACTATTTGTATCATTATCAACTAGTGATTTGCTTGTTGGCCATTATACGTGTTTTTGCTTGTTGGCCATTATCAGATTATTACAAACTTTATTGGATACGAACTGATTTAATAGAAGATGTAATAAATACCACTTTCACAGTTGTGAAAGAGTTACAAAAGACTGCAGCTATTGTGGCACCTAAGACTGCTTTGGTAGCAATCAAAGCTACTAACACTGCAGCCAACACTATCTTTGTCTTATTATTATGTACAATTATGCCATTTGTAACTTCCTAAGTTTAATCATAATTTTACGAATAGTATGCAGATTGTTTATAAACAGAAATATTAACAGGCCAAAATAGGATATATTAATAACTTTGCCAGGTATGCCATGGGGTAGGAGTAACCATTTATATGACTTTCACTAACAAAATGTCTAGAATATATATATATATATATATATATATATATATATATATATATATATATATATATATATATATATATATATATATATATTCTACAAATGTCTAGAATATATATATATATATATATATATATATATATATAGTATTAGTGAAAGTCCTATAAATGGCTACTCCTACCCATGGCATACCTGGTAAAGTTATTAATATGTCCTGTTTTAGCCTGTTAATATTTCTGTTTATAAACAACCTGCATACTATTCGTAAAATTATGATTAAGCAACATCAATATAAGGCCAGTCAAATAATGAGGGAGATAGCTGCTCCAATACTTTGTAGCAACGGGGTATTAAGTTTTAATTTCTCTGAGCTTAAAGAAGGTAATAATGAGTTTGAGAATGGCGTAGTCTTTAGAAGAGGTGACTACTTTTACACTGCAGAACATTGTGTTGACGAGGAAACAAAAAAGAAGAATAGATGCATGAGAGATGTGTGTACAAACGACCCGACGGTAATAGTTGGCTCAGATCTAATTGAAATTATTGGTATTGAATTGGGAAAAGGAAAATCAGGTTACGTTGTAGTTCAAGATAACAAACATTTGTTATTCCAGTATATGAAAGGGGTAAAGCAATATGGTAGAGTTTTGTTGTTTAACAAAATCAGAATATCAGCTGAGGATGGAAAAAAACACAGCACAATCAACTAAACCATCTCAGGAAAGTTCAACTAGTCCTAATCGAAGTACTAGTAAAGACTGTAGCTGTGTGAGCGGTGAGTATTACAACTACTGTTGAGCTAAATTTATGGCAGAAAGAAATAAGAGCATAAGGACTCGCGCATCAGGTGGAGAATATTACACTAATCCATTCAATCGCAGTTACACAGTAAGGACCATAGGCGGAAAAATAGGACTAGTGTACCCTGATTTACAGGCATCACAAGTAACTGAAGATACAGTACGCCATAGAGATGGCGTGGCCATAGAGATACATTTATGAATTATACCATTATAAAATCTACATTAAACCGACCGACATTATTGTAAAATTATTGGTCACCCATACATTCATACATTTTTTTCATACCCAAGAGGTTTGAACTTCGCTTAGATAATATTTTTTGCATGTTTTTCAGAAATAAATTAATTTGCGAATTTTTTAAATAAAAACTGCAAAAGCTGTTCATACTATTTACTTTATATCTATCAGCACAGTTAGTGTATAATAATAAAACAACAAAAAACCAATAGAAATCATTCATTTTTGGTCATAGTGTTCAAGACAGTGTAATAAGATAGAAAAAATCGACTTTTCTTTAAAAAAATATATCAAAGATACTACTTGTGACATATTATGTTCCGTATTTTTTTCAGAACAGCCATAAGTTGTACTATAAGAAATTTCAAGGTTATCCATTCATTACCTGACACCCGATGTATTCACTTTGACAATGGTGAATGGTTACTCGGTTGAGGGGGCTAAAGCTGTAATCGCGTTATGCAAAACTATTAAACGCAAGGCTTGCGTAGTATATTATTATAACTTTTTTTAGTTCTCTTGCTCTTGTACAAATACTTCGCCAGAAATATGGAATTTTCAGTCTTTGAACTACGAGGGTGGATTGAAAAGTCGAGTACTTTAACCTAACTAACACAGCCTAGCACAGATCCATTCAATTCTAAAAATCAAATCTACCCACATTATTTAGTTCAGTTCAAACTAGTTCATTGTGTGAAGTTCGAAACGTGTGCGATAATTAGTTGTGATTTTATAAATTTATTAACAAAGTAATCGGACATAATTTCCGCGAATGGAGCAAATCGAGCAGCGTGCCGTCATTAAGTACCTCCATAAGAAGGGGCTATCATCAAAAGCCATCCATGATGACATGGTCAGTACATTAGGCGATTGTGCTCTGTCATATTCATCCGTCAAGAAATGGATAGCAGAATTTAAGCGTGGTAGAGAGAGTGTGAAAGATGAACCCCGCTCTGGAAGGCCTTCGACGTCAACTACTGACGAAAATATTAAAAAAGTACTTGATTTAATAATGGGAGACCGCAGATTAAAAATTAGAGAGATAGCCGAGATTATAGGCATCTCTTATGAACGAACTCAAAACATCATTGTCAACGAGTTGAGTTTCCACAAGGTGTCTGCGAGGTGGGTTCCGCGACTGCTTTCAGTTGAACAAAAAAGGACGCGATTGACTATTTCACGCGACTGTTTGGAGTTATTTGAAGCCGATCAGATGATTTTTTGAATCGTTTTGTTACTATGGACGAAACATGGGTTCATTTCTGTACACCGGAAACAAAACAACAATCAAAACAGTGGAGAAGACCTGGTTCACCACCCCTAAATAGGCTAAGTCGATTTTGTCGGCAAATAAGGTGATGGCTTCAGTATTCTGGGACTCGAAAGGTGTGATTATGATTGATTATCTTGAAAAGGGTCAGACTACAAACTCTGATTACTACTGCACCTTACTACGTCGTTTACGAGAGGTAATAATACGTCGAGGAATGCTCAGAAGAAAAGTCCTGTTTCATCAAGATAACGCCCGTGTTCACACGTCAGTACAGTCAATAGCTGAAATTCACAACTGTGGCTTTGAACTGTTACCGCATCCGCCGTATTCACCTGATGTGGCACCATCAGACTTCTTTCTGTTCCCTAACCTAAAAAAGCACTTGGGAGGTCAAAGATTTTCGACAAACGACGAGGTCAAAGCAGCTGTAGACGCATATTTTGACTCTTAGGAAGAATCATTTTTTTTCAACGGTCTAAATGCTTGGAAGGGGAGGTGGCAAAAGTGTATTCAACTTGATGGTGATTATGTAGAAAAATAAAAATATAACTGATTTAGTATGTGTTTATTTTCTTGGTTAGGCCGAGTACTTTTCAATCCACCCTCGTATTAGATCTAATCGACTAACAGGCTGTGAAAAACTACCAAAAGATGACAAAACTTTAAAAAAAGAAGAACAGGTGCTTTCGTTCAATTGATATGCAACAAAAATCAATTTTCTGTCGTAAAGTGTATGACAACAAGTTTACCCAAAAGAGACCAAAAATAGATATGATAAGATTGAGAAGCGTAAAATACCGGTAAATCATCTCCCCCAAATTGTGAAAAATTCTAATGCTCATATCGGAGGGGTGGATTTGGCTAACATGCTGGTGGCTTTATACAGAACTGAGATTAAATCAAAAAGGTGGTATTTGTCGAGTTTTCCCAAATGATTGCAAATAGCATTAACAATGCGTGACTAATGTATAAAAGAAATATGAAAAGGCTTAAAGAAAAACCGATGAAGCTAAAAAAAATTCAGACTAATTGTCAGCGAAGAACTTATAAAATTTGAAAGACCTTCTTTGTCAGTTGAAGTACCATGCACATCTTCGTCCAAAAAGATTGCTGCACTGAAAAAGAAACTGACCTTACGATATCCGTCGTAATAAAGTTGGCCATGAGCAAGACGGTACTACTTACGGGCGTTGTCGGTATTGTAAAAAAGGGCAAACAAATGTTTTTTGTACCAAATGTCAACTTAGATTTTGTTTTATCCCAAATAAGCGAAACTGCTTTTATAATTTCCATAATGATTAACTTTTGATAATTTTTTCATTCCTATTGTTTATTTTATTTTTCACCCATAATGATCTGTGAGTTAGATATGTATGGTATATTATACTAATGTTTAAAGAGTATCTTTTTTTGAACATCGAGATATGTAATACTATATTATACTAAACATTTCTAAAAACGCAAGCCTGATTATTTTATTTTATATTTTTCCCTTTTTTACTTTCACGAAATATAGTAAAATAAATTTAAAAAAAAACAGTAAAAAAAATAAAAAAATCCTGCCAAATTAAGGATTAATGGTATATTGTATAAAATGCAAAAGTACATACTCTGGTTTTCATAATAGTACAGCATGCAGCAGACAAAGGAAGCTTTACAACCTCCCCAACAGTAGTAACTACCCCACCAGCAAGTGTCACTATTAGAGCAGATTGTACCAGTATAGGAGAAATAGACCTAGTAACTGCAAACCTTCCACTACTTATGAAACATAAACATTGTGGTGACCCTATTCCTACCTACATAAAAGCTATAGAAAAAGAGAGAACTAGACCCACCGGTCTTAAGAAAAAGGAGTTAAATAATTATTTCGATGCTAAGTATCTCTCTGGCCAATTTGAGGATTACGAGACTAAATGTGGTAGTCGCTGTGAAGGAATACTTAACACAAGACCAATAATTTTATCTGACAACATGAAACAATCAGAGTTAGTGGATAGACTGCAATTTCTGAAGTCGATTAAAGAACACTTTGAAACCGTTGCTTTAATTTTTTCTGATATGAAGACCCTCCAAGAATTGACAAAATGTATCAAAAAGTTGGAACAACAACAACTTTGGACTCAGTTAAGCCCGTAAAAGATAAATATGAATTAACCAAACCGGCATGTGAGTCTCAACTGTCAGAGTTGAATGCTTTAGAAGAATAAATATTCCATATGAGATTCTACTCATCCAGTGTTGAGTTTCATGGGTCAACATCAATAAAATGTAATAGCTCTGGCTGGGATAGGAATAGGTACCTGACTGACGGTGCGGGTCAGTCTTGTCAACAAGGATTAAAATCAAAAATTGAAGGTAAAGGTGAGTGTGTTAAAATTCATACAAATAATTGCTACTCTGGGCCTCATGATGAATGTGCTTTGGGGAATAATCGTGTAATTGAAGGTTCGGGTGTTATTTACTCCAAATCAGCAATTAGAAAAGATCAGATATGTTGTACACTAGACTGCTTCTCAAAGAAAGAGTTATATATAAGCTTAACAGATCAACCTTTTGTAGCTCTTGCATTAGAGCATACTTCGGGTTACTTTGGCATAATGATTGCGCAATAAAAGTGCCTGAGGAGCCTACCGAAGTAGATGACATTAAAATATACTCATACACTACAGCGTTTAACATAAATGGGTTTTAATTGCAGGAACCTATATAATTTTGAACAGCGTTGTGGTGGTAATGGGCCTGTAACCCAAGGTTCACACGTTGACTATATTGATATGTTGTGTGCCTGCAGAATAAGTAAAGTAAGTAATATTAAATACTTAGGTAAGGCCAAGTCAGTGATTAATGATGTGATAGAAAACAAAAGATACGTTAAAGTTGTCATTATTTTATTAGCAATATATGTTTTCCCAAAATTAACAGCAACATGTTTTATAATATTCATTTGGATTAAATTTTCAAGGACAGGCGGGCTATGCTTTAGTACGTAGTGATCATTCTCCTGTTCTCTAACGCTAACTTTCATGGTGTGGACAAACGTAATTACTAAAGTTGTTCAAAACGACTGTAAATCAATAGCACGCTATAGACCATTAACTATAAATATCTAGCGCGCTATTAATTAAGCTATGTTATAGTGCGCTATTTATGAGAAATTATATAAGAATCCGGCAAGCGCGTTAAGCAATTGTAGCACGCTATATCTCGTTGCATGTTACATTGTCGTTTGTTGGATAGACCGCGAGCTATATAAGAACATCATTTCGTAATAAGTCGTTGCGCCCTCCTTTCTCCCAAGGAGGGTCGCGTCCGTTTACAAAGTCTTATAATATTCATTTGGATTACTTATACAACCGCCTCATGTGAGCTTAATGACATGGTCCCATTGCCTGCTAATAGTAAGAATTATAACAAGGACTTGAGTTGGCCAGTACGAGTGCGATTAACTAAAGGAGATTGCATAGATGCTGGCGATTATACTTCAGAGATAGTAAACATTAAGAGAATAAGTAATTACAAATTCTTATCAAGCATGCCTTATAAGATAAAAGTGGTTTGCTCTGGATTTGATTGGGAATGTCATCTTGGCAAAGGTAGTTCCATCATACATGAAAAAGATAAGTGTGAGAAAGATTGCACTACAGGGATATTTTATAAACACACAGCAATTCAGTCTTACTTTGATGGATCAGCATGCGCTATATAGTCAGGCATACACACAAAGCTTACAGCCTGTTTTTCTGCAGGCAATCTTGGGTCTGAAGTCAAAATCTTTAGCAGGTTATCAATTGAGAGTGACATTAAACTACAGACGATACGCTATCGTCAAGGAGTTGATTTATCTACAGAATTAAGTATGGATGACATTATCAGTTATATAATTAGTGAACCATCCCGCGACATGAACTTGTGGCCGTACATGGTTGCCATCAGGGGTGGGGACAGATTTTGTAGTTACGCCATGATTGACATTTCACAATATAGTCATACTGCAGATAAGCATGATCGATCCTCTTAATATAGATGTGAGTTGTCTACAAGCAGTGCCGTATTGGAACCCAGACCACAAAAGGTATGAGTTAAGTTACAAGAATAATGACTTCGAAGACTTAGTGCACTTGTACTTTGAAAAGTGTCCTTCAGACGTGCGCCTAGATATTAACGAATATAAAAGCTAACCGTACGTCCGAATTCAGATTCTGTTACTACTACATTCCAATTTAAGAGGTTTAATATTGCCAAATCCTTACCAAAATGCAGTAAAGAACCAACAGTAAAAATAAAAGAAGGGGTGCTTAGTTACCATCAGGCTACCAATATAAGAATTTTGTCAAATGACAATAAAAATGCATTGTACACATTACGATACAAGGGTGTGAGTCGACTCAGGGACATTGTTTGTATTACGCCCAAGTGTAGAAGCTAGGCAACAGCTAGAAAATTTAGTAGCATCAACTTATGATAGTGTCAGAGGTAGTATATCGTTGGAAGCAATATTATCCTCATTATCAGGTATTGACATTATAGGTTTCTTTAATTCAATTTATGACTATTTCCACATTAATGTATATAGTATAATTGGTTCTGTGTTATCATTATTTATAGTTTATAGAGCAATAGTAACTTTCGATATAGGATTAATGGTCTTTGGATCATTATTACTATTTGTATCATTATCAACTAGTGATTTGCTTGTTGGCCATTATACGTGTTTTTGCTTGTTGGCCATTATCAGATTATTACAAACTTTATTGGATACGAACTGATTTAATAGAAAATGTAATAAATACCACTTTCACAGTTGTGAAAGAGTTACAAAAGACTGCAGCTATTGTGGCACCTAAGACTGCTTTGGTAGCAATCAAAGCTACTAATACTGCAGCCAACACTATCTTTGTCTTATTATTATGTACAATTATGCCATTTGTAACTTCACTAGGTTTAATCATAATTTTACGAATAGTATGCAGATTGTTTATAAACAGAAATATTAACAGGCCAAAATAGGATATATTAATAACTTTACCAGGTATGCCATGGGTAGGAGTAACCATTTATATGACTTTCACTAACAAAATGTCTAGAATATATATATATATATATATAATATATATATATGTATGTCTAGAATATATATATATATATATATATATATATATATATATATATATATATATATATATATATATATATATATATTCTAGACATTTTGTTAGTGAAAGTCATATAAATAGTTACTCCTACCCATGGCATACCTGGTAAAGTTATTAATATATCCTATTTTGGCCTGTTAATATTTCTGTTTATAAACAATCTGCATACTATTCGTAAAATTATGATTAAACAACATCAATATAAGGCCAGTCAAATAATGAGGGAGATAGCTGCTCCAATACTTTGTAGCAACGGGGTATTAAGTTTTAATTTCTCTGAGCTTAAAGAAGGTAATAATGAGTTTGAGAATGGCGTAGTCTTTAGAAGAGGTGACTACTTTTACACTGCAGAACATTGTGTTGACGAGGAAACAAAAAAGAAGAATAGATGCATGAGAGATGTGTGTACAAACGACCCGACAGTAATAGTTGGCTCAGATCTAATTGAAATTATTGGTATTGAATTGGGAAAAGGAAAATCAGGTTACGTTGTAGTTCAAGATAACAAACATTTGTTATTCCAGTATATGAAAGGGGTAAAGCAATATGGTAGAGTTTTGTTGTTTAACAAAATCAGAATATCAGCTGAGGATGGAAAAAACACAGCACAATCAACTAAACCATCTCAGGAAAGTTCAACTAGTCCTAATCGAAGTACTAGTAAAGACTGTAGCTGTGTGAGCGGTGAGTATTACAACTACTGTTGAGCTAAATTTATGGCAGAAAGAAATAAGAGCATAAGGACTCGCGCATCAGGTGGAGAATATTACACTAATCCATTCAATCGCAGTTACACAGTAAGGACCATAGGCGGAAAAATAGGACTAGTGTACCCTGATTTACAGGCATCACAAGTAACTGAAGATACAGTACGCCATAGAGATGGACTAGATTTACGTGCCAACCTAGGTGTAAACTGGTGTAGAGGAAATTTGGAGAATTAGTGCTTATATACCTTCGAATACAAGTCAAACATGGTTTAGAGTTAACGGTATAGACGACTGGGTGTTATCTCCAGACGGTAAATGCCTAGCCCGTTGTTTAGTCATAACAGGATGCCAGAAACAATTAATCAGTGGTAGCTTAATTTATATAAAGTGCTGGTGGGGCTTTGCAATTGATAAATATGTACCCATTGACGTCCTGATTGGAAAGTCAGGTGAGAATTACATAGCAAGCCGACCTATGCATGATTATGTATACCTGCATTGTAATAAGTTCAAAGAGGCAGCAGCTAAATATGATCATATTGATTATCTAGTGGACGACTCAATATTAACTTTACAGTAGAATGCTAAACAGAAATACAGTTTAGAGTATACATCAACTGCAATTGATGAAGTTGATGATGAGGGTATAGATGATAATTTTAGAACATTCGCAACAGAAAACCACGAATTTGTAAAATATTTAGGCCAAACATTTGTCGATTATTTCTTAAAATTAGAGATACAGTTTATGGAGTTCACATCAAGTAATTTTGAAGAGCTTAATCAAGACAATAAGGAAAGTTTAGCATTATTAATACAACAATTATATGAAAAAGGCGACAAGGTTGAGAAACTTGAACCACCAAGGTTCAATGAGGTTCAATTTACTAGTAACTATATAAGTGAACTAAAGGAACTAATAGATAATTTCAATACCAATTTTGAACAGTACATAAACGAAACACACAACTACATAAACAAAAATCACACCGTAAGAATACAAAAAATCATTACATTAAATAGCAACTTCTGGGATGATCATTCATATAGAGTGCTAGTTATAATATCATTAAGACGCTGTAAACCTTTGAAATGTCATATTGAAAAGGATGTTGTAATAGCAACTTAGATTTTATAGCCGCGTTAATACACTTCCTTCTACATATATAAAGGTGTAAAAACAATTCACCTAAGAGTGCCTTCAGATGACATCTTTTTGTGCGAATTTGAGAAGCTTATAAATATGCCTTACTGGGTTGTGCCAAATAGTACGATATTATTTGAAATTACATTACGCAAAATACTAGATTTAGCAAAGACATACAGAACCGAAAATATGATTTATCAAGATTGGGTTCATATGAAAAAATACTTTCCAAAGAGAATAAGCGAGCCTACTCACTCTAAGTATCATATAGGGATGCACTATACAAGTTGTTTGGTGGAGGGTTACCCAAACTTTGTGGGCGTGTTGTTGAAGACCCTAAGAGCCGGTTCACACTAGTCGTAAGTCGCATATGACTAAAATTCGAATGCTCTGGTCACCATACACTTTATATGTAGCTGTTCACATTGGATGAAACGCGATTTTTAGTCTAATACGACTCAAAAAACCATCCGACGGGCCAGCGCCCGTTGTAAGACTAAAAATCGCGTCGAAGCGTGCTCGCATAGGTGCCTGCTTGTTGCTAGTTGTTGCTAGTAGTTCACACTAGTCGTGCATCTAATCGACTCGAGCGCGTTGTTACCTCTCTCCCCACCCCGCTTCCTAGTTCGCTACATTGCTTGCTCACTCCATTCGTGTTTTATTCGTCGTGTTGGTTGCGCGCGCGTTATTTTTGTTTGTTGTGTGAAAATGGAGAAAGAAATAAAACCCGAAGAACTAATTCCATTACTTCACGAAAGAGCAGTCCTTTGGAATAAAACTTTAAATGACTACAAAAATAATAATCTGAAACTATTGGCCTGGCGCGAAATTTGTACCATACTAATACCTAATTTTGAAAACATGGAAGAAAAAGAAAGACAACATTTCGGTAAGTGCCAGTAAAGTTTATTAACTATTATACTACATAGTTATGTATTTACAGTTGTATTATTAATTTTTAACTCATTTATATTATGCGTATCGCGCATTAGTTTGCCAAGGCAGCGAACCAATCGGGGAAGTAAAATAGTCTGCAAAGTCCGATCGTATAACATTTGCAATCGGACCACCACGAGGATTATGTACTCTCTGTTGTTGATCTTGTTCTTGTATCGATTGTTCTAGTGCAAGTTGAATATCTTCAAAGTTTAGACCATCCCTTTCTCTTAAATAATTATGCAATACTGCACAGCCTTTCACAATATGGATAGCTCTGTCTGGGTGGACATCCAATGGTCGATGCAGTATTCTCCATTTATTAGCTAAAATTCCAAAAGCACACTCAACAAATCTTCTTGCACGGCATAATCGATAAATAAATATTCTTTTCGTATCATCCAAATGATTGCCTCCGAAAGGTCTCATTAAATTTGTCGTCAGGGGGAAAGCTTCATCGCCAACTAGTACATAGGGCATATTCTTTTCGATTGTTTCATGAAGAGGCCTTGGCTTTGGTATGTTTAAACTACCATCATTCAGTTTCTTCCAAAAGGTAGTCTCCTTGAATATGGAAGAATCGCATTCTTTCCCATATGAACCAACACTTATATAAATGAAACGGTATTCTGCATCAACAACAGCTAGTAAAACAAATGAAAAATAACTTTTGTAATTGAAATACATCGAGCCGCTTTGATTTGGTTTCACTACTCTAATATGCTTGCCGTCGACGGCTCTAATACAGTGTGGGAAGTTAGCTTTAATATCAAAACCATTTGCGATGTTTTCCCATTTATTTTCATTGTCGGGCAACTTCATAAACTCTTCTTTTAATGTATCCCAGATAATGCAACTCATTTCTTTGATAATTTTACTATAGTACGGCCGCTGAGTTATTACCGATTTGACAGATTATTCTTAAATTAATCGATATAACCTTGCACGAGCGACACATTTGCCGAATGATTTAGAATACCTCTTTAATATAAAACTTTATGTCAAAATATCAGAATCAAGTAATTTTCCAATAAACTCTGTTTCAAAACTTAAAATAGTTTGTAAATAATATGAAAACATTTATTTTTTGTTCTTTGGCGCGCTTGTACAAAGTTACATCGTGCGTCTAGTTTTCATAGTGATGTGCTTGATAGTATTCGGTCCGAATTCATTGGAATAGATATGATATTTATTTTATTTGGATATTTTTATTTTACTTATTCCATCGAGCAACTAGACTATAATGCTACCATTTTTTTTGCGTCTCCTAATTGCACTGTGTTGCCAGTATCTCTATGATTTTTAAGATTTATGTGTGATCCAAAGACAGAAATACTGTTTTCTATGATTTAAAAATAAATACAATTAAAATGATTATGTATAATTTTTAACATTCATAATATATAAAACAACATTTAATAAATATAATTTTCTCCCTCAATTAAGCAATGTTATAGGTGTATTTTTTTAAGTAATTGGCGATACTATTCTGGCAACACCCTTACCACCGCTACTTTAATCTGTTTAGTCGTCTTCCGTACTCTCATGCGCACAGACTACGTTCTCTTGTGTAACCGTTGTTTTTTGACTCGGCTTTCTCCTGTTTATCGTTGCGCTTTATTGGACTAATTTTGTTTATGTTTGGTAATTTTGTAGAAAATGCCGAAACGAGGAAAAACATTGAATAGTCAATGTCGTGAGCTTGTACTAAAGCTACAGGATTACTTTGAGCGTGAGTCACAAAATGGCGGCCCTTTGATTCCTGTCACTCAAGTGAAAGATCGGGTTTCACAAGCTCTTGGAATTGGTGCAAAAACACTATATAATATAAATAAAGAAAAATTTGGTGCTTCTGGAAGTGAAGATAATGTTTTACGCACTCCTAAGAAAAAACGAAGACAAAAGCCCGTGACAGGTGTTGATGTTTTTGATGCAGATGCAATAAGAAACCTAAATTAAAAGAAAAAATTCTAAATATGGTTATTATACTAGGAACGAGTTTCCAACTAGACGTTTGCTTTTGGTCTCTTTAAAAGAAGCTGGCTTGTTTAAAGGCGGTAAAACGGCGTTGTCAAAACGATTGCACGAAATTGGGTTTGAATATAAAAAAACTAATAAAAGGAAAATGTTAATGGAAAGATTTGATTTAATAATTAAAAGGAGCGAGTTTTTAAGAGAAGCCAGAAAAATCGAGTCTTGGGACAACGTCGTTTTTGTTGACGAAACATGGTTAATTGCGAACCACACTGTGTCACGCTCTTGGACTGACGAAACAAAAGCATCAACCTCAAAGGTTCCAATTGGAAAAGGATCGCGACTGATAATTTGTCACGCCGGTTCTGCTGGAAGTGGTTGCTTTGAAAATGGACTGCTGGCTTTCGCGTCAAAAAGTACTTCCGATTACCACGAGGAGATGGATACAGACACTTTTACGAATTGGTTCGAAAATCAATTATTACCCAGCCTGCCAGAGCCTTCTATCATAATAATGGACAACGCTTCATATCACTCGAAACAAGTGAATAAAGCGCCTACTCAGGCCGACAAGAAAGCTGATCTCGTAGCATGGCTACACCAAAATGGTATTGAAACTACTGCCGAAATGCTAAAGTCTGACTTAGTAAAGTTGGTATGCGAAAATAAAACATCAAGAGTCCGTTATGAAGTAGATGAGATAGCTCTAGCACATGGACATCGGGTACTTCGAATTCCGCCTTATCACTGCCAGTTTTAATCTTCAATCACTTTTAATCTATGGTAACCGCGGTTAACTATGACATATGGACGTTGAACATCTCAGTCCTGCCCGTGACCATGAGTGCTGTAAAGCGTTCGAAACGTCGGGTAATTAAAAAGTTAAATACACGCGATAAATTCCGTAAAAACTAGTATTATTTCAATGTGTAGTGTTCGCGTAAATATAAGAAATCATTAAGAAATAAATATCTCATGTCCCTTACATGTAGGTAATTGTGTAACATTTCGTTTATTTAATGTAATAAATTAACGTTATTTAATGTTTACATTACAGGTTACGCAGCTCGTAATAATACGACTCCGCCATTCAGTACTAATAAAATGATGGGTCTATTAAAAGATGCTTGCAGCAAAATAACGAAAGAAGATTAGGTCAAGGTCGTCGAAAAGACTCGAAAACTAATAACAGAAGATTATGAACGTGATATAAGAGTGGACACCATTATAGAGAATGAAATTGTCATACAAGTGACTGATAGCGATGACAGCTCTGGCGAATCTGGTTCAGAGTCTGAATAATTGTTTTAATAAATGATAGGTAGTCATTTATTAAAACATCTTGTACCTACTCTATTCATTAAAATGTTTAACAGTGTTTACAAATTTGTTTTATTTTGATATGTCCTCGACCAATTATCTACACCCATCAAGGATACTCCACCTAATAAAGAACCTGTGTCTTTAACTATTATTGTTTTTATTTTATTTAATTACACATTAAACTAGAATATTTAAAAACAAACTGTTCCCAAATGATATTAGGGTTACTGGTTCAGTCACTTCACTAGTATTGTCAATTCGTCATGTGTCAAATCGGTAATAACTCAGCGGCCGGACTATAACAGTTGATACCCCGACTCTGAAATTGTAGTGCAGGTCTTTGAAGGAACATCCTGACGCACAATATCTGAAAATAATGTTGCAATATAATTTCAGGTAAATTAGTATTGACCAAGTGGACGAACTTACGGAATGTCTGGATCCGAACAAACAAAAATGATGAAAAAAAATCAGGATCAGGGGCAAAGTCGTCAAAGCCATATGTATATAAAGAATAAATGGATTTTTTGCGTAAAGTTGCTAGACCTAATCCTCCTCAAGAGTCTGTTTCGTCGCGTATATCTCAACCAGGGACAGAAGGCAGTACTCAGTTGTCAGAAAATTCGCAACCAAGCACTTCTAAAAGACAAAAGACCATGCCACCACAGCAACATATAATGGATGGAATGGAGATGTCAAAATGAACGAGTTTTTAGACAGCAGGCTATCACAACAAACTGATCCCCCAATTTTATCATTTTTTAAAGGTATCCTACCCTCTGTTACGTCTTTCGACGATGACGAAACGTTGGAGCTTCAATCAGGTGTATTATCACTGATACAACAAATCAAAAAGAAACGTGAAAACAGACTTTATGCAAATAATTATAATTACGCGCGTGATAGCACACGGCGATCGGGGTATTCGACACAGAACTATAATTATTTACTCGTATCTACCGATGAATCCGGATATTCCTCTCAAAACCAGGCTGTTCTTACACCACATGGGTCTGGATATGAAAGACGTCAAACGTATGAGGAAAGATCGCCTGCTGCATCTACTTGGTCGGAAAGTACTGAATTAAATTTCTCCGATTTTTGAATTATTGTAATATGTTGCGCTGTTTACCTACTTAAATAAAAAAGTTAAAATAACTTTTGTTTCAATTTCAATACACCTAAGGAATCACACTACAACTGCTACAATCAGACTACTACACTACAAACACAATCTGAATATTTGTAGCAGTTGTAGTGTGGTTCTAAAAAAAACACTTACCTAAGAAATATCGACAGTCTTTCTTCAGGACAAATGCAGTCTCTAAATGTCGTATTCCAATACGTGATGCCCGCAGAAACTCACAGTAGGTCGTTGAAAATTGCTTGTGACATTCTAAAATAATTAAAGAATTTTCGTTCGTCATTTTTTAATTCATGTATTAAATTTTTATAACTTCCTAAAGTCGATCTTTCTGTTAGGATTGGGTGCATCCAGTATTTTCTTGGAATTGACTTCTTTTTCAACTTTTTTAATTTTCTTCGTAAGTAGTAGAGCACAACCAGTTCTTCGTCGGCGTCCATCTCTTGAGTTTGCTACGTACCGAATGGCGCGAAACTACGACCTATACGACTCGCGACGCAGTGTGAACAGGTACATCAGACTTTCGACTTTTAGTCATATGCGACTTACGACTAGTGTGAACGAGCTGTAATTGTTCACATTTTTATTTAATTTTATTTTTTGTAATTTTCTAGTATTTTCCAAAATTTTACCTCTTTACCCCTACAAATTTTTATGGTACATGTTTTCGATTGAACTTTTTATTTGATTTTGGTCCCAGATGTATCCTTGATCTATCGAAAGCATTGTTAATCCAAAATAATGAGTAAATAATTAGTTATAGGCTCACAAAATTAAGAAAATAAAAATATTAAGTCCAAAAGGTCAACTTAGCATCGTTTTAAAAAAACTAATATTGATCGAGGTGTTCAAATGTTTTTAAAAACTTCTCTAAACATCGCTTATTACATCGGTTTATTACATGGAGCAGAAAGGTCGATCAACTTGTCAAAAATGAACACATAAGGGGGAAATGGAGCGAAAAGCTAAAAATAAAACATTGTAAATATCACTTCCCTATTATACAGTGTGTCCGGTTACCGGTGTCGGAGCTTTTAATGCTATAAAATATAATCAATTTCATAGACAAATCATGTCTCAAATCTCATTTAGACCTAGCTGTATTTAAATGGCAGCCATTTAAATTTTTTAGTGTCACCACCTCGACCCCGCGCATTAAAATTACAATATTCACCGATGTAGAAGTCCTACATTCTTAAAAGATGTCTCATTGGATAGATAAAGATACGCGTAATAAAATAAAAGCAAACTTTTAACTGCAAAATTGTATTTAGATCCTAAAAAGACTTAGAAAAGAAAAAAAATGTAAAAAAAATCGGTTATTTTTTTCACATTTTCGACTTTAATGAAAAAAGTAAGTCATTTACCTAATGATTTTTTACATTAATCAGATAGATCAGAACATATCCTAACCAAAAACATAAAAATCTTAATTGTAACCAAAAAAAATCAGTATTATAACTGTTTGAATATGACCTTTGAATAATTTGTCGCCCTGGTTGCAGACAGACAAAGTGAATTGATGAGAAGAGTGAAACATAACATTTCAAAATGCACGTAACTAAAAAATTATTTATAAAAACTGTTCGAAATGACCTCCACGATGTTGGAGACATGTTGTAGCCCTTATTGCCACATGTTGAGTTGCACGTCTGATCATCTCCCGATCTTGTTGCAATTCATTTCCAACTTCGATTATTTTATTAATCAACTCTTCTCGTGAGTTTGGCACGTTCGCATAAACTCTTTGCTTCATAGTGCCCCATGGAAAAAAGTCTAAGGGAGTTAAAGCCGGTGAACGCGGAGGCCAAGCGATCCTTCCACCGCGACCAATCCACGGCGAATAGCGCTCATTTAAATAATTTCGCACATTTACTGCAAAATGTGCAGGTGCTCCATTAATTCTTCCAAAAACTGTGTTTGCAAAAACTCTAAAAATCTTGGGCCATTCATAGTTTCTGGTAAAATTATCGGCCCAATTAAAATATCGTCTTTTATTCCAGCCTAAACGTACACTCGAATTTCATGTTGGAAAGTACTTTCTCTAACAGCATGAGGGTTGTTTTGAAGCCACAGATGCTCGTTACGGTATAACCCGATCTCGTGAAAGTGGCTTCGTCAGTCCCACAAAATTCTTTTTAAAAAATCTGCATCTTGTCTTGTTCTTCTACTGATCCACGAACAAAAAACTGCCCTTATAGAATAATGAGGTTTGCGATGTCTTGTACCCGCCGAAAATGGTAAGGATGCAAACCTTCCCTCTTTAAAACTCTCCACACTGACCATTTTGTTAAATTAAGCATATTGCTTATTCGTCTTACATCGAGTCTGGGATCTTGTGTATTGAAACGTAATGTCTCTTCTTCCTCATCAGGTGCCACAAGCCGAAATCTTTCATTAGCGGGTCTTCTGATCCCAAGTTCAGCTATCCGCAAATGTATCCTTACAAAAGTGCGAGCATTTGGTGTAGGCCTGTTAGGAAACTTTCTGGCGTACTCTGTGACAGCTCTGTTTGCGTTGCCGTTGCACAATCCATTACACAAAGTGGATATCAGCGACATGCTGGTTTGAGTATTCACCATCTACCATTTTTGAAAATATCAAAATAACTAGAAACTTCACCACAAACTTAAAAAGTTCCACAAAACGGATTTTTTTTTGACAATAACAACAACAAGCGATCTTAGAGGGGCAAAAGTAGTGTAATCACAACGCGTGGCGAGGGACGACTGTTTTGTTGTCCCAAGTACACTTGTTTAGAACATCAAACAATGGGCTTTGGGTTTTTTTACCTGCTCTTGAACTATCATAAATGATCCTGCACGTGCAGCTTGCGCTTTTAAGAGGTCGTGTTTGATAAAGTACAATTCTTAAACTATTTAATTTACAATTAAGATTTTTATGTTTTTGGTTAGGATATGTTCTGATCTATCTGATTAATGTAAAAAGTCATTAGGTAAATGACTTACTTTTTTCATTAAAGTCGAAAATGTGAAAAAATAACCGATTTTTTAAAGTTTTTTCTTTTCTAAGTCTTTTTAGGATCTAAATACAATTTTGCAGTTAAAAGTTTGCTTTTATTTTATTACGCGTATCTTTATCTATCCAATGAGACATTTTTTAAGAATGTAGGACTTCTACATCGGTGAATATTGTAATTTTAATGCGCGAGGTCGAGGTGGTGACACTGAAAAATTTAAATGGCTGCCATTTAAATACAGCTAGGTCTAAATGAGATTTGAGACATGATTTGTCGATGAAATTGATTATATTTTATAGCATTAAAAGCTCCGACACTGGTAACCGAACACATTGTATATAATATAACAATAGGTATGTAGGCTAAATTAGTAAAAATTACCTTCAATAAATTATGATTTCTTATCACCTAGGCATCTGACAGATGTTTTCGAAAAAACAGGGAATCGATAATTGTAATTGGTGCGAGGCAAACATTCCAAGAGCAGGTAAAAAGCTTTTGTTTCGCTTAGTACATTGTGCAGCATTCTTGTCTCTTTCTGTCATGGGATATAAGACCCACAATCCTTATCTGTAGCGGTACCGTGGCCCCCGGTTTGTTTAAGCCTCACGTCATGGATTAAGCCCCTTACATGCCTGGATAAGAATTTTTGAATTCTTACTTCACTTCAGATACAAAAATAACCCAGCTGTTATGAAGTGGAGAGTTACTAAAAATCACCGGAAGCCACAATAGTAGAGGAGCGGAAAAAAGAATGCATATTGAAATAAGAAACAAAATATCACTTCTGGTTGATGCTGTTCGTCAAAATTTGGGAACAACCAATGATGACACACAGCACGAACAGCACTATCAGACCAACATAGGCAAACATTTGCAGATATCTTAGGTATAGAGACCTGGCTGGTGGATGACCTCCATACTATTTTAATAGTGCTGTCGAATGGCTTAATAATAGATGCCACAAAATTTTACGACTTTTTTAAGTCTCTAGCTGCGAAGTATGTAGCAAAATACAAAAATGTGAACAATTAGGGTCTTCTACTTCAATTTGTATTTAACAAATAAGTCCACCTACAAACCCACCAAATTTGTCTAACCTTCCACCAAACAACCTGTATACTTTACGTACGTAGCCAAGTATCGAGTCAGTATCCAATTTGACAAAAATCGTCGCGAATTCAGAAAATATAGTGTTTCGAAATCCGACATGAAATATCAATATACAATGTGTTAATTTTACACTTGATCAAACGAAATGTGCGGATACTAGATAAAAAATTATCGGTAAAAAAATCAAAAAAAATTTTTATGTATACTATTTAAAAAATAAAAGCATTTTAATTTTTTCCCATGCCCATCTCATAAGTAAACGGTGTATTTTTTTCAAAGTAGTTTTATTTGAAAGTTAGAAAGATTAACTAGGAATAAAAATTAAAAAAAACCTATATCAAGCAGGAAATTTGTCAAAAAAATAATAAGATAATTTTTTTGTTAAAAAAATACTTTTCTTTTTAATTTTTGGTCTGTAACTTCAAAACTAGTACGTTGAGATAACTTTTTTAGCATGTTTTATTAAA